CTGATGTGGCCATGCCGCTGTGACAACAACATCGCCAGCCCCTGGCCGGCAGCGGCGGCCAATGACCAGCCAATGCTAGACCCCACCGTAACCTTGCTAGCCCCGCCACGGCCCCACTAGCCCTACCACCGCTCCAACCTAACCCTAGCCACCAGATCTAGATCCGAAAATCTCCTCTATAATCCATCGATTAGGTGAGCGCTCCTCCGACTGACTACCCGGAGAAGATATCGATTTCAGAAGAAGACGGCGGAGATGCTAGGCAGATTTCAGTAGCCGGCGGCCGGAGAAGGAGAACGGTGGTGGTTGAAGCGGCGAAGAAGAAATGAGAAGAAGAGGAATTGTGGCATGGCAACAGCGGCTAGAGCGGCGAAGAAGAAGAGGTCCGATGCTCTAATCTGGGGCTTCTCCTTTAATTGTTTGCTAAATACAGTTGGAGGAAGAAAAGTGAAGCGCTGCTATGTACGACGGTTGGGAAAGAATGAAAATTAAAGCCAAGCGCATAAAAGACGTAACCGACGAGTCACTTTTGTGTCCATCCAAAAAGTAGTCATATTTGTATCCATTTAAACTGTAGGAGTAATGTCTTGGCCATTTTTTTATAATTTTATGCAGTAATTTCAGTCAATACAGCTAGAAAAATAATTCTAAACTTATTTTTTTCTCTTATTATTATACAATTCAGCGCACAAAATAAAAGATTACGTGTTTTTTGAATAAGTTGTCTGATAAGCCGAAAAACAAGGTCAACGAACGGGCTCTTAATATTTGACTTCTTTTTTAATTAATTAGAGTTACCTTAAGATAGCGACCCCGTGACACTGATTTTATGGGCATCCGGTCATGTTCAAATTAGTGATTACAGTGTTCACTTATTGATCCATTGATGGATGCAATTTCATGAGTACAGTGAGTTAACAAACGGTCGGCTTTAAAACAAAGTCACGATTATGGAGATGAAAATGTGCAAATACTACACGGGTTAAATATGCATGCTTAGAATAAAAATAAACATGCCACCAACTTTACTAATTTTGTGATGTGGTACATGCCTCAAGGGTGACTTAGGAGTGTTTGAATATGATTCTTAAAACTGCTTCTGCTCCCTGAAGGTGGGGTGTTTGATTGAAAGTACATAAGTGATATTTTTTGTTCTAATTTATTCCTAGAATCGGTTTTTTTAGAATCTGGGGGAGATCGACTTCTGAAAACTGATTTTGCTTCTGCTTTAAAAAAGAATCAGAGGTGGAATCAGTTCCAAAGACATTGTGGTTAGGCACACTTAGGACTTAGGCCTTGACATGAATAAATGAATGTACTTCATTGCACCCCTTACATGCATGTATTGTAACCAACTAACCAATCCAACATTGCATAAAAGACATTGTGGTTAGGCACACTTAGGACTTAGGCCTTGACATGAATAAATGAATGTACTTCATTGCACCCCCTTACATGCATGTATTGTAACCAACTAACCAACCCAACATTGCATAAAAGACATTGTGGTTAGGCACACTTAGGACTTAGGCATTGACATGAATAAATGAATGTACTTCATTGCAGTCTTTCATTTAGAAATTCCACCCCTTTTAATTACTTTCAATTATACACAATTGTTTGAGGTTGCTTTAAAAATATCTCCTTGATTTTTCATGATGAAATTAAAATTGGATTTTTAAATACATTTGTCTTCTTAAATTTAAAAAATGATTACGTAGTTGGAGAGGGAAAATTATACAGTGCAATCAGTATAATGTGCGTGTTACAAATCTAGCTAGCCTATACTAGGCCTATATCAAACTCATAAGCCTAGATGTAGAACACACTCACAAAAGAACACACGATTAGGAAGTGCGGACACCTTCCTTATAAGCCACCGATCAAGTCCATACTTGATCGGTGTAGGATCATTACAATACCCTCACGTTTCGAAGAGCCACCACTCCATAGGCCACCACTCGAGCGTTAGACAGGAAAGATGGGGACGATTCTGATATCAATTGTTATGGACCTAACTCATACCAGGCTCATATCAAGGTCTTAAGTCTAGGTGTAGAACGCACTCCCTGTCCAGGAGACTGGGAGGAGGGGACACTTGATCAGTGTGACATCGTTACGGAGCACATGGTATTCCCGAAAGATTCAAATAAAATCAGATCTGAAATCATATCATATATTTTACAAAAACTAACAAAAATATTCATATTGGCGAATTATTTGAGTAAATAGGAAAACAGCAATACTAATTAAATAACAATTTATTTATATATTTTTAGCATGCCCATAAGGACATATGAGGAAAGACCAATCTTGGAACCGAGTCATTCAAACTATGTTAGGATGTTTTCTTTTGGACTGAAATTTGCTGGTCTAGTCTGGTCTGATCTGGTCTGTTTAAGTCTGGTCTGTTTAAGTCTGGTCTGATCTGGTCTGAACTGGTCTGGTCTGGTCTGGTAAACGTCTAGTCTTTGTGTATTTTATAACTATCCAAGTCTGGTCTGGTCTGTTTAAGTCTAGTCTGATCTGGTCTGGTCTGGTCTGGGACTGAAAACAGTCCAAAAGAAAACATCCTTAATGAGAGAAGCTTATGAGCTGGTAGGAGGACAAGTTAGGGTTAGGACCATACAACCATTGGGCTTCAGAGTCTTGTGTTCTGAAGGGGCCTTTGGGGTGTGGGTGGTCACTAGTGGGTTTTGTGCTTACTAGGGGTGGTCACTCACGACTTTTCTGACCACTGACGGGATTTACGATTTTGTGGTCACTTCTAGCACGTAGTGACAAAAGTGGAGTGGTGGGGCATTTTTTAAGATTATTATTACAATAAATATTATTTAAAATAATAAATTTCATACTTTCTCCCTCTGTATTTAAAGTTTCACTATAATAAGTTTGGGCACATGATTTAATGACGAAATAGTAGAGGTTATGCATAGTGTAGAAAAATAGGAGAACAAGTATAAAAGTTTGAAAAATTAAGATAATTAACGGAAAAACTTTCTAAAATAGAAAAATATAATGAAGTTTTAAATACATTCACAAAAGGAACGTTTAGTAAAGTTCAAAATTCAAAGGAGGCATTAAATAAAATAGGCTAAAGGGTCAAATAGGCCCCTGTACCTGTTCGGAATGCTCAATTCACACCCCGAACTCAAAAAAGCTCCAATTCACCCCCTGAACTCGCCAAAAAAGTTCAAATTCCATTTTTTGCAGGTGAGTTTCCGGTCATTGCCACGTCAGCCGGTTAGATGCCAACTGTACATCCAACATGGAAATCTAAGGGGTCAAATAGACCCCTGAACCCAACAAAATTGTTCAATTTACCCCCTCAACCGTTAAAAAGTGTCCAAATTGCCATTAAAAAATAAAAAATAAAAAATATAAATATAAATAATATACAAGTTCATAATATAAAATATATGAGTCTATTTATAATATGACAATAAATTATTTATATTTTAGGGTAAATATAATATTTTAAATATTTATGAGTCTATTTATAATATGAAAAAATATTAAAAAAATTAATATGAATTTATAAAAAATGTGTGGTTGATTTTTTTAAATGGATTTAAAATATATGCATATATACATATATGCATGTGTGTATATATAAATCTAAAACATATTTAAAATATGAAAATAGTTTTAATGAATTTCTTTTAGTTTATTTTATATGAATTTACTGTAAATATAAATATATCCTTATTTTTTGCGGTAAATTCACATAAAACAAAACAAAAAAAATTCATTAAAAATATTTTGTTTCATATTAAAAATCCATTTAAAAAAGTCAACCATACATTTTTTATAAATTCATATTAATTTTTTTAAATATTGTTTCATATTATAAATAGACTCATATTATTAAATTTACCATATTAAATTTATAAATAATTTATAAGTAGACTCATATATTTTATATTATGAACTTGTATATTATTTATATTTATATTTTTCTATTTTTTATTTTTAATGGCAATTTGGACACTTTTTAACGGTTGAGGGGGTAAATTGAACAATTTTGTCGGGTTCAGGGGTCTATTTGACCCCTTAGATTTCCACGTGGGATGCACAGTTGGCATCTAACCGGCTGACGTGGCAATGAAAGGAAACTCACCTGTAAAAAATGGGATTTGAACTTTTTTGGCGAGTTCAGGGGGTGAATTGAAGCTTTTTTGAGTTCGGGGTGCGAATTGAGCATTCCGAACAGGTACAGGGGCCTATTTGACCCTTTAGCCAATAAAATAAAAGGTAATGTAGTATATTATATTGATTGTAAATAGTACATTTTTGAAAAATTAAAATAAATTGTATAATCATCTTTTATCTTTGAGAAAAGTTGTTGTCCTTGTGTGAGAGTTAGCTCAAAAGTGACAAGTGGCGTTCAAATGGATCACACCTACATTTAAGTTTCTCCTCTTATGGAGAGTTGAAATTGTCAATGAGATGAGTTTGAGTTTTTCTCAAATGATGATTGTTTAATAGCTCAAATGATTGTTTAATCATTGTTTTGTCTCATCTCAAGCGACGGAGTTTACTTCCTACATATGAATAACTAGATTTCTTAGGCACAAAAGAATATGAATGATGAAAATGATTATTCTAAGGGTTATGCTTTATTGTGTAAATGAGAGACAAATTGCTTCTTTCTTAACGAATTACTTGTGTATACAATTAACTAAGAGGAGTGTACACAAAAAAGTGTTCACATTGTAAGTTAAAACATTTTTGTTATTCTAACTTGTGAGCTTTGTTTTCATACTCTCCGGCCAATTAAAAGAACAAGAACAATTATTACTCTAGGGCCCTAGGCCTGTAGCTACTCCTCTTCTTTTCAATGTACCGTTTTATTTCTAAAATCAGCATAAACTTGCGGATGGTCCCACTTGGATGAGTCACGAGTCTTTCCTCCCTCATCTGTAAGCCTCTGCTTAGTTCCCTCATGCAATTTCTCTCCACTGTACCTATTTTGTCTCATGCACTCCTCTGCGTATATGATTGGATACAGTATATTCCGTGTGTTTTTTAAATGCCATAAACTCAATACGGATTGTACATCTACTGTCTTATTGCAGATAATAATTGAATTTTGTATGCAGATAACTATGTTTATGAATTATACTCCGTATATAGGAGGGAGTTGTAAAACGTCAGATTCTTATCTATATAATGAAAAGTCTGAACTCCCAAGTAATACCGAAAAAGTCTAGTTTTTTTTCTCTCTAAATATATACCCACCCGTGCACAAACGCTCAAGAAATAGGAGGACCGAAAGCTGTCGCTGGTATCATGGCCGGTCGGAGAATCACGTCATTTCTCACTCGTTCCTTGAACACTTTTTCCTCTCCTCGTCTGCTCTCCGGCGGTATCAATTTCTGCCTAGATTTGTTTATTTGTGTGTATACACCTTTTTGCTGTAATGGAATCGATGGGTTGTTTTTCCCAGTTCTTAAAAACTGTTATTCAGAAAGCGTGAATTGTTCTTGTAGATGTTGTGAGTTGTGACAGATTCTTGAAATGTAGTAAATTCAGGTTTCTCTTCGCGGTGAGAAGAATTTGCAGTTTTTGCTTGTTGTAGTTTTTGGCATTTAGGATTTACCCGGTTTATAATTAGGGTTGTAATCCTTTCGATTTGGTCGGTTACAAGAATCCAAGCTGTTCTTTTTAGGTGGGACTTCGAATTTGTGTGGAAGGATTCATAGATTAAGCACGGCTGCTGCTATTGAAGAGCCAATTAAGCCTCCTGTCTCTGTTGAGCACACACAACTCCTCATCAATGGACAATTTGTTGATTCAGCTTCTGGTGACTGTTGATTATAATTTGAGATCTTGTTTACTCATACACTTAAATACTGTATTGAACTAATTACCAATAATTTTGCAGGCAAAACTTTTCCTACCTTAGACCCGAGGACGGGTGAGGTGATTGCACATGTTGCCGAAGGGGAAACAGAAGATATCAACAGAGCCGTCTCTGCTGCTCGAAAGGCTTTTGATGAAGGCCCTTGGCCAAAGATGACTGCATATGTAAAACTATTCTTTCAATTTTCTTTTTAATGCTTTGCTTACTATTCTTATATTTTCATTAGGGTAAGTTTGGGTACTGGAAAATTCCTGGGAGGGATAAAATGCCGTCCAAAGTTATTTGATTGTGTTTTTATACCATGCAAATGAATGACTGATGTTTTCAAAGCATATTTTAGATTTTCTTAGTCTTTATATGATGAAAATAGATTAATGGTTGATTTTGAACAAATGTAAAAATATAGCCATTCAGCTTGAAATTTTGTTTTTATTTTTCTGTTATCTTCCTTTCCTTCCAAATTTCCCCTGTATTTTGTACGTGTGTCCTCTCCCTAGCATTTTCCGAGTTCCAAACAGATCCTACATGTTTTACCTTGGGAAAAATGATCTCAAGTAAGCTTTTACTTGGATATGCGAATGCAGGAAAGATCAAAAGTAATGCTGCGATGTGCTGATCTGATTGAGAAGCACAAGGATGAAATTGCAGCACTTGAAACTTGGGACAATGGAAAACCATTTCTACAATCTGCTACTACTGAAGTTCCCATGCTTGTACGCTTAATCCGCTATTATGCTGGTAGGTCAATTGAAGGAACAATTATCAGTATTCGTTTTGTTAGAAGTCACTATTTTAAGATTTTGTGGTCTCCTAGGCTTCACATGGTAGCCTACTAGCCTAGTTTTGCGTATTCTGCTTATATCAGCATGATAATTAGAACCAATAGTACGTTCTTGTCTTATTTAGAGCATGTTTGGCATCCATGCATTTCTCTTTTTTCCTTGTAAAGTCTCATCTATTTACAAAAAGTATTTGTGTTTGGGGATGGTATATTAATTGAAAACGAAAGTATTTTCATCAAATTTCAGATGTTTTGGAGAAGTTAGGAATTTGTAGGTTATCGTAATTTTTAACAGATTGTTTTTCTTTCATCAATGTTCATACCTATTGTATGGTTTTACCTTATAAGAACTTATTCTTCGTTACACCCAAACAGATTTTTTTTGCAAACCACTTTTTAGTAAACTCAAGTAAACAAAAACTGATTCTAATTATAATGTTACATCAATTGCACCTATGGTCTGACTATTTAAATAATCTGATTTTTTCAGCTTTCCTGGAAGCATTCTGAACGTTTTTCAGAAAAAATAAGCCATTTCAGCCAAATAACCATTGTCAAATGAGCTTCTTATGTGTTAATCATTTGTAGGATGGGCCGATAAAATTCATGGTATGACTGTCCCTGCTGATGGACAATATCATGTTCAAACTTTGCATGAGCCAATTGGTGTTGCTGGACAAATCATCCCTTGGAACTTTCCTCTTCTCATGTTTGCTTGGAAGGTTGGGCCCGCATTAGCATGCGGAAATACCATTGTTTTGAAGACAGCTGAAAAGACACCTTTGTCTGCTCTCTTTGTTGCAAAGCTCTTCCATGAGGTAGTGTTCACAGAGTGTTTGGGATGACTTAGTTTAAAGAGTATATGCTTTTTTAGGAAGAAAAGTGCCTTCATATTAAAGAGCGGTTGCCGGGGGGGGGGGGGGGGGGGGATCCTTTTAACAGAAAACAAAGAACCTTTATTGCTTATTTAAGAAAACAACAAATTGGTGGTTTTAAAAATACTGTAGGTGATCAATTAAGAGAGAACTCTTACCCACAAGTTTACTTCCTTTATCTGTCAACCTTACCTTTATACTTTTAGGTTGCCTAACATAGTGTTATGCTCGATATTATAGGCTGGACTACCTCCGGGCGTTCTTAATGTCGTCTCTGGTTTTGGCACCAAAGCTGGTGCTGCTCTCTGCAGTCACATGGATGTGGATAAGGTAGTTTAAATGCTTTACAATCCTTTACACTAATATGTACCCCTTTCGATTTCCTCTTCATTGCCTTTTTGAAAATTGATAAAAATGCGGTTTGTTTGCTTAAATATCTGGGCAAAAATCAATCAGGGACTATATTATGGGAGTATTTATTTTGTGTTGCTACTACTGCAGCTTGCATTCACAGGTTCAACGTCAACTGGGAAGGTTGTGCTCGAATTGGCCGCCAAAAGCAATCTTAAGCCTGTGACATTAGAACTTGGTGGAAAATCACCTTTTATTGTTTTTGAGGATGCTGATGTGGATAAGGCTGTTGAACTAGCCCACACGGCTCTCTTCTTCAACCAGGTATTTCATCATCCTTAAGGGTCCGTTTGGAACTCGAAAGATGGTGGGAAAAGAAAATAGAGGAAATTAATGGGAATTTTTTAATGGAAGAAAAGTGGGGTGGGGGGATTGCTTCCATCTCATTTCCCCCTTTAATCTACCATTTTCCGCGTTCCAAACATAGCTGAAGTAAACACTAGTGGTATTTGCTGAATATATGGCTCTCTATAAAAAGTCTTCTGGTTTTTAGGGACAATGTTGCTGTGCTGGGTCTCGGACATTTGTCCATGAGAGTCTCTATGATGAATTTGTAGAGAAAGCAAAGGCACGTGCTATGAAACGTACAGTTGGTGACCCATTCCATGCAGAGACAGAACAAGGTCCTCAGGTATATTTAATCGTTAGCTTTGTTTATCAACTTCTAGCTTCATTGTTTTTTGCCTCTTCTCGGGAATGTAAACAAATGCTTGCATAGAGCAGGTTGATTCAGAACAGTTTGAGAAGATCCTGAAGTACATTAGATCAGGAATTGATGGTGGAGCTACCCTTGAAGCTGGAGGTGATAGACATGGCACTAAGGGCTACTACATTAAGCCAACAGTTTTCTCCAATGTTACGGTGAGCTGTTTTGCACTTATTTTGTTGATCTTCGGGTCGGCTATCTATTACTCTCTCTGTCCCATAAATTTCTTCCCATTTTTCTTTTTGGGATGTCCCGAAAATATCTAATTTTCTTTTAGGTAAAGATTAGTGTGATTAATTTTACATCATGGACAACCATAGAATCACTTTAATACAAGTGTGTCAAGTCAAAGTGGGAAGAAAATTTGGACTGGAGTATAAGAAAAGTATACACAGTGCATAATCAACACAGTACCTCGTGCTTTATGGAGTCTTAGCATTGTGCTTTGATAGTGGTATAGACTTCGAAAGTTTCTGGCATCATGTTGAATTGACTTATGTTTGTATTTTCAGGACAACATGCTGATAGCTAAGGATGAGATATTTGGTCCTGTGCAATCAATCTTGAAATTCAAGTACGTTTTGTGAAAAAAGCACCTCAAAAACATTTGTCACAGAACTAAGTTCATGGGACCTGTAACTTCAGCAAAAAACTAATAATATTGTGCTGAAATGCATCATCTGTGAAACCGAAGTATTTTGAAGACTCGTTCTTTTCAATTTTGTGTCATCTGGAATTAGGGAAAGCCCGAAGATATGTTATTAGATTTTTTTTGTACCTAACCATAGTATGTTTAAGTAAAACCTGCATGTTTCAAAACAAAATCAAAAGTTCTATTAAACAAAAGTGACATAACTAGTTGTAGTTTGCCCAATGAATAGTACGTAGTAATATAATGACAAGTAAATTTAGGCAGAGGGAGCATTTTTTTTACTAACGGGGATGTTCTTTCAGTTATCAATTTTTTTCGTTATTGTTTGCCTGTAGGGATATTGACGAAGTAATCAGGAGAGCAAATGCGTCGAAGTATGGTCTTGCTGCGGGGGTCTTTACACAAAACATTGACACTGCAAATACAATGATGAGAGCTTTGAGAGTTGGGACAGTATGGATTAATTGCTTTGATACATTTGATGCTGCCATCCCTTTTGGAGGGTATAAGATGAGTGGGCATGGAAGGGAGAAGGGAGAATACAGTCTCAAGAACTACTTACAGGTCAAGGCGGTTGTCACTGCATTGAAGAACCCCGCTTGGCTATGACCATCCTCTTCTCACATCAAGCTAGGGTTAATTCAATAATGATTGATGATGAAATATTGCCTTTTGCTTCAATAACACTTGTCATGTTGAGTATTCGTTATACTTTTGCTTCTAGTTTAAACATCCATTTGCGGTGCTGAACACATAAAGGTTCGGTTTGTCCAGCATGTGGAAATAATGTAGCTTGTATTTATGCTTCAATAAATATCCATTTGCTCTCTCTCTCTCTCTCTCTCGTTCTATTTTTTATATGTTTAAATTACACCTGTTATGACTTTTATTAGGCATGAGACTTAGCCATATCCTTGTACTGTTTTTCCTTCCTCGGACTACTAACTGTCTTGTCAGTTAACGATCCCTTGGAAAAGGAGGGGGAGAAGGTGGCAGAGTGGGTGGGAGAAAAGAGGCAAAGGATGTGGAGAACAATCAGGTGGTTCAAAAACTGGGGCTTTTTTTGTGGAGGAGCATAACAGCAGACCATCATACATGGTGGTAGTTGGAACCAAGTATTACCGGTGGTGCCGCCAACACTTTTGATGCCGTGGTGGTCGATTGCCATGGTCTTTGCCTCGGATTGCCATTTGCTGCCATCGGAATGTTAGGAGAATCCTCGTAAATTCTCAGAAAATTGCCCCATGCAAAGTTTGATGCAAAATTTGCCGGTGCCAATCACTGGCAAATTTTCAGTAATTTATTGTCTAAGAGTTAGCATTTTTACACTTTCTAAAGTAAGGAATCCCCATTTAGAAAGAAAGCAGAGCTGATTCTATAGACATTGTGACGAGACCTCCTCTCACATGCTTTCCTTTCAAGGGATGACTCCCCGTCCTATAAAGTATAAGTAAATAAAATATAAACAAATAAAAACAGTTGCGTTTCAAACATAAATATATCCTAAAAATGGAAAAACCATTTCAGTTAGACAAAATTAACTATCCAACAATTTGTCATTGAATAACTAAGATAAACAGTTAGAACATAAACATTTTTTTAAGATCATGTCTAATGACTTGCGACTGTGGAGAATCTTACCAAAAATACAATATTATACATGGATCTCACAAGATCTTTTTATACAAGGGGGGTGAGTTAGGTGAATTTTTTCTGTACTTATCTTTATAGGTGGTATTCGCAATTCACATGCTACGATGCGGAAGTTTTACGACGGCAAACACACACACATACATAGTTACATACATGGGTCACTCAACACGGCTTATAATGGAGTAATGACGGAAAAGTCTTCCGACATTATTCAAACAACATTGCTGACATTGTCACTCGCATATGAACTATTTGAAACTTTCAATAGGAGTAAAGTGTCAATTTAGTGCTCGAATTTGTCTCTGGTGAAGTAAATTTGTCTACTGTAAAGTAAAGTGTACATGAATTTGCATCGGAGCTCATAAAGTACTTTAACTTGTCTTCGATGAAATATAGTACTTCAACTTATTACCACGGTGGGATTATGGTACATTCGTCAAATATAGATGAACAACTTAGGAAAAATGATGTAATGATTTGTTAACTTTTATTTTAAACTAATTTAAAATTGAAAATGTTAAAAAATATGCGATCATATATAAAATTAATAGTTTATTTTTTAAAATGTGTTTAACATTTGTAATAGTTCGGTTGAACCATATATTAAAATAGTTCGGTTGAACCATGTATTAAAATACTGTACAATTAAGAATGCTAAAGTATTTGATCGATAAAATTAGTAGTTAAATAAGTAAATCTGTTTTAATTGTAAATGCTAAGGAGGAAAGAATAGTACAATAATAGTTCATTTGAACATATGCGCTAAAATCACATTAATAAAGTAGAAATAAATTAATATTACTAAGTGGTATAAAATCAATTTTTAACTAGTTTGAACTAAATTCATTAAATCATTTTTTTAAGTTGATTGGCCATTTATATTTGATGAATGTACCATATTCCATTGTGAAAACCAGTTGAAGTACTTTCGAAGACCTGTTGCCAGTTAGTGTACTCTTTATTCCACCAGAGAAAAGTTGTACTTTATAAGAACTGATGCAAGTTCATGTATTTTTTACTCCACTGTAGACAGATTCAAGTAGTACAAATTGACACTTTTATCCTTTTAATAGTACAAACTAGTATATAAAACAAACATTTATGGAACCAGATCAAATCGGAAAATACTAGTGTAATTAAAAGCATCCTTAAATCTGATCTGACTTGATTTGAAACCTAAACTAATTCCGATAAAGGTGAATTTCTTATGTTTTTACATTGCTCGTGTCTGATTCGATTTGATCTGCTTGAACGAGACTACTAAAATATGTCAAACTTAAGGATCCTTACTCTCAAATAAAACCACTAAAACTCTTACACTAAAAGAAATCTCTTATAAATAGGAGTCATTGCTATTGTAATTAAATTAGCATTAACATCAACTATAGTTTAGAAAGAATTGTCTAAAAAAAATTAGCATTAACATCAACTCTCTTAAGAGTATACTTAATATATTCTCTGTAATCTTGTCCTTCCATTTCATTTTAGTGGTTAACATAGACAAATTGCTTGGTTGTTCTTATCCTCTACTGGAGTGGTCGAGAATGCACTATTTGAAACATAACAATAATGGAAACAATTTGGTCCTATTGCACACGTCACCTACTACTACCTCGGTCTCATTAAAATTGAGACATGAAGAGATGACGCGGTTATTAAAAAAAGTAAATTTGAGTGGTTGATATTAAATTGATAACGTAAGAATAAAATAAGAATGATTTAAAATCATACAAATTTTACCAAATTCACAATGAGACAATTCTAGTGGGATAGGCCGAAAAGAAAAGATTAGACAATCTTAACGTAACAACGAGTAACTTTAGAGGAATCTCAACTGTACCCTAGTTTGACTTCCGGTTTGGGTCCAGAAGACCAGAACAAGAACCCCAAAGCACGATGCTCCACTTTTCCTCAAAACTGAATGGTAATTGTTGACTGGTAAGTAGACTTATACAGGACAATAGCAGAATAACTTAACACATTGATAACGTGTTTGATAACACTAAAGTTGGCTGAATCGACTGATTTTGTTGAAATTTATGAAGTTCTAGCTTAATTGGCTGGATTGGCTGATTCTGCTGATTTATGAAAAAATTATATTTAAGATATTATATGAAAACATTTTATGAAAAAATAGTTAAAATGATCTTCTACAGTGACTTCAGTCAATACAGCCAGAAAAATAACTTTCACCTTACTTTTTCTTACTATTACACAATTAAGCGCGCGAAATCAAAAGTTACGTGTTTGTTTAAAAATTGACTATAAGCCCAATAAGCCAAAAAAAGTGTCACCAAACGGACACTAAGATAATTTGTCTACTACTTTTTGGTTATACAACTAAAAAATACACACCAGACAGCATTTCAAGTGCCTTTTTTAAGTATAAATAAAAAAGTGCCTTTTTTTACATATGCAATTTAAATACTACGTAAGTTTTTTTTAAGTATTAAAAAAAGTGCCTTTTTTTACATATGCAATAATAAATAAGTAATATTAAAATTGATATTCCAATTCCATTTTTATTTGGTCCGGTACAACTTTTTATTTTATGTAATTATTTCAAAAAATAAATAAGTAATAATGCTTTAGAGAGAGATTTTCATATTTCCCGAGGAGCACGTACAAATGTACAATGTATGGGTGGACTCGGGCCGGGTGGTCTGACCCGAGACCAGACTAGCCCGGCCAGGGATCGGTCCGGGTAGGCCGGCCCAGGGGGTTACGGTCTGGACTCAGGTCACCCAAAACACAAACCGGCCAAACCGGGCCCGGTTCCGGGCCGTTTTTTTTTTTTCATTTTTTTCATTTTTCTGGGTTGGGCTGGGTTTTTTGGGCCATTTGGGGTGGTTTGGGGGGGGTGAGGGTGAGGGGGGTCGGGGATAAATTAGAAAAGTAAAAAAAATATGAAGTGGCCCGAGGCCCGGACCAACCCGGACCCGCCGGCCACTCGGGTCGGTTCCGGATCACCCATTCCATAATAAAAGCCCGGTCGGGCCCAGGCCCGAACCGCAACCGGAACCAGCCCGGCTCGAGTCCACCCATAAATGTGAGGTTCCATTACTGTGCATTAGCTTTAGCATTACAAGGGGTGTAAATAAGCCAAGCCGCTCGCGAGCTGCTCGTTGATCGCTCGGAAAAAGCTCGACTCGAGTTCGGTTATATTAAGCTCAACTCGAGTTCGGCTCGACTCGAATAGTTAACAAGCTCATTTCAAGCCTATTTATTTTAGTCTCCTGGCTCGCGAGCCGGTTCGCGAGCCGTTGTGTCAAATTTTATATATAATAAATATATATGTAATAATTATATATATATATATATATATATATATATACTTTTTTAAAATATATATTCTAATTTAGGACTATTCCATTTCAATACTTATCACAGAGTATATTATAATAATAATAATAATAATTACAAAAATAATAACATGTGTGCAATATTAATATTAGAGAAAACGGACAAATAAGCCCACGTACTAACAATGAGAGTAAAAATTGACATTACAATAAAGAATAAAAATTTGCATAAAAGAGAGATAAACTAAAAATGAGATGAATAAGTAAACAATAAACATATACTTCGTAATATTTTTTAGCTCAAGTTCGAGCATCTTATTCAAGTTGAAACCTATAAAAATTAATTAGCCAAATTTGATCCGAGCTCGAATCAAGATCAAATATAGCTCGATCCGAGCTCAGCTCAAGATCGAACTCGAATTATTCAACTCGTCCAAGCTCGAGATCGAGCTCGAGCTTGTGAATACTTATCAAGCACAAGCTCAAGCATACTCACGCTCGATTCGGCTTGGCTCGTTTACACCCCTAACTAATAACCATAACCTACTTTAGCGCCCATTTTTAGAGGTGCACACAATTTGGAGTGAACAGATGAAAAATACTTCACTGCTTGAGCTGAAAGGATGGTTTTTTGGGGGGGTGTAGGATGAGGGATTCACAATACAAGACTTTAGTACTTCATATTAGTGTTGGACCGGGACCAGTTTGACCAGCCTGGTGAACAAGAATCAGGCCTGGGGCCCAAACGGGGGGGGGGGGGATTGGAGCAAGTCACGAGATCAGCCCCTCTTGGAACCACCGGCCCAACCGGTCCACGATCAATCCGTGTAAAAAAAAAAATCCTTTTTTGAAGTGTTTTGGTGACAGGGAGGTTTGGGTTGGCTAAAAAACCTTTTTTTAGAAGTGTTTTGGTGGTAGGTAGGTTGGCTGGGTGTTTTGGCAAGGTTTGGGGGGTAGAAATTAATTATAAAAGCAAAAAAAATGAACTCAGCTTGACCCGAACCCAGACCCAGTAGAATCTCGGGCCTTACCCACAAACAAAAGGTCCAGTTTGGACCTAAGTAGCACGGAAACGCGAAACGGGAAACATGAAATGGGAAACGGGAAATTCATGACGTAATTTCTAAAAAAAATATAACATACGAAACGTGGGGGAAATGCATAAATTTTATAAAATATAAGAATATAATTATAAATATTTTTTAATATATGTATACAAGTTTTTTCATATGCAAACGTTTTTTCATATAATTTGTTTAGAAACCAAATAATAAAATCACTCTACATGTTCGAATTTAGATATTATTTCATATTAGTATATAATTAAACATAAAATGTATAGAGTAATACATTTATAGTAATACATTGTGTTACGAAATGTAACAAGTGTTGCTGCTAAGAAATACCACAAAAATTCACTATTAAAAAAATTATTTTTCACCACAAAATCTTTAAAAAAGAAAAAAAAAATGAAATCTGAGATTTCCGAAAAGTAGTGAAATGGATTTCCAAAATTTTTTAAATTACGGAAACGGCCCCAAAACGGGAATATAAAGTTTCCGAGTTTCCTAAATGTGGAAACGTGAGCCGTGGATAGTTTCCGTGCTTCATAGGTTTGGACCAGCCCAACCTGATACCGGTCAATCCCTATTGTAATTGACAGACCCAAATTGTCATGTTTTTTCCTCAATTTCACTTCTTACTTGCTTCTTCCAATTGAAGATGTTTTTTCCATTGAAGTTTACAAGCAAATGGCAGCTAAACTATGCCATGTTTTTTTTAAAGAAATAGAAAGATTTAGAGAAAATCGAATGAAAATAATTCAGCTTACACGCAGTATACTTGTACCACCCACCAGGACTAATGACATAAAAAACACTAGTATCCAATAACAGAAGGTGAAGTGGGCATACTTGATTGCACAAAAAGTAAATACGTAGTGATCACATGATAAATGAATATTATCCGTAAGAAATATTAAAGTCTTCTAGTTTGGCCTTCAAAACGCAAATGGAGAAGTTCTTGCCCATAAAGAAATAAACTCAGATCCATAAAAAACAAGTCTACATAGAGTAATTTATAAGACCATTGAAATAAAACTCGAAATGTCAATTAAAGCAAAACCATGATCTCCATAAAAAGTAACCTAAAAAGGCTCAAGCTTCAGTTTTATCAGCAACAGTTTCTTCAATGGAGACATACTTGGCAGGGGGAGCGCCCAACAGGTAACTATACTCCTCAAATGGAGATTTTATAAACCTGGTTTCAGCCCAGAAGTCTGGTGTGAGGAATCCGTACGTCTTTGAGAGACAATCAAATGTAGCCTGTTACAAAGAGAAAACGCAAAAACCAAGAATCACAATCCAACAGATTATCTCTTCAATAGTGTAAATATGCAGTCAGGATATATCATGTGCTGTTAAATTAAATCTACTTCAGTGGAAAATTTTACATATAAGGAAATGCTCAGGAACTGGAAGCTATTCTAAATGAGAACATTCCAATTTAAGTCAGTTTTTAGGAAGCGGTAATCCATGTATAATGTGAAAAGAGTTTGTATTTAAACCTCTTATCTCTATCTATTCATAAGCCAGATCTTTTATCAAAACACAAATTCCTTAGAATAGGCTAACTGAAATGGATGGTGACAAAATAATACGAAGTATAGGATCATATTTCGTATAAAGTAAAATTTCTTAGGAAAGGGAATGACAGTAACATTTGGGCACCCGTATACCAAGGAAATGCATTCCAATAATTTTATTTGATAATACAATCAACTTCACCAATTTAGGACTATGCAAGCTATGGCAGGAACATTAATCATTTCAAACAAATCTGCAACTTATAAACTACAATTCTTAAAGAAGAGAGTTAAAAAACACTTCCACGAATGTATATTCTGAATAATAGAGAGCAATGCAGCAAAAGTTGCAGATTTGAACAAGCATGGCTATTCTTAATACACAGATATAATGAAATGTATGGTGCGGAATATAAATCATGACAAGTTAAAACATTACATACATACTGATACGTAATGATATTATTATTAATAATATCATAACAAGTAGGCTCTTTGGTTTAAAAAAATATCTCCTTTACTATTTTCAGGGCACATAAGATGTGATTAATTGAGATTAAACCAATCATGTATATTATACAGTTATAAATTACCTTCACAAAATTTCCGAGCGTCTTTGTGGAACCACGGGAGGATGTGTAGACGTCGTCAATACCGGCAAACTGGAGAACCTTCTTGGGAACCCTGGCGGCCACGATTCCAGCACCTCGAGGAGCTGGTACCAAGCGGACAGTGACGGATCCACACTTTCCGGTAACCTTGCAGGGAACAGTGTGCGGCTTACCGATCTTGTTACCCCAGTAGCCTCTCCTCACAGGAATCACAGAAAGCTTCGCCAAAATGATAGCGCCGCGAATAGCAGTGGCGACTTCCTTGGAGCACTTAACCCCCAAACCGACGTGACCGTTTGAATCTCCGACAACCACGAAGGCCTTGAACCGAGTCCTCTGACCAGCCCTGGTCTGTTTCTGGACCGGCATGATCTTCATCACCTCGTCCTTCAATGATGGGCCGATGAGTTGATCAATGATTTGGTACTCCTTGACAGGCAACGAATGCAGGTAAATCTGCTCCAATGATTTGATCATATTATCCTTCACGAGCCGGCCGAGCTTGGTACATGGAACCCATTTTTCTTCCTCGGTAGGACGGCGGCGGCCACCGCGCCCTCGTCCTCCACGGTCGCCGCGCCCTCGTCCTCCACGATCGCCGCGCCCACGGTCGCCGAAGCCACGTCCGAAACCTCCTCTGTCCGCCATGACTGCTTACACGATTTTGGGCAACAAAAGAAGAGGGAGCTAGGGTTTGGTACTGAAATTGATAATACTTCCCGCAGCGTTAAATACTAGTTAGGGTTTGCCACTAATTGGGCTTTCAGCAGCACATCGAATTGGACACCCATTTTTCGAAGTCCATTTATACCATACAAATCTCATTTTTAAAATATATCATCAAACAAGCCCATTTAAATTTTAAATTAAAGTAGTCTTGATATTTAAAAAAGACAAATTCTAATGTACATCAAGGTACATGTCATATCCATGAGGATTATTATTAGTATTATTTATTTTTTTGGAAGAAAAGGAATTAATTACAATTAATCAAATCAAAGTTCAAAACATCAACAAAGTAGTCATGTAGGACAGAACAGCAAAATCGGCTATCAGACAAAGAACAAACTGCTCTAACTAACCCGTGTGCAATTTTGTTTGTAGATCATCTATAATAATCCATGCGAATTACGGAGTATTATAGTTAGAATACACAAATAGAGAGTATTTGATTGGTTAAAGTCTTATAGAGTGAATTGTCGTATCGTACGCACAGTATCTCCTGAAATATGATACGTGTAAGTGTGTGCAAATTTTATTCAAATTTTGATATAGAATTATAACTCATGATATACTTTTGAATAACTCATGTTATATATTTATGTAGATGTAGATGAAAATATGTACAAACAACGTGTAAGAGATTTTAATATAAATAGCTTGTTTTTTATGTAAATGTTAAATATTACTATGTGCATTTTAAATAATTTATGAATATATAAAGATTGATTAAAAAAATTAAATGCTCGGTGGAAATGAATTTATAGAAAATGTAAAATGTGTGTTCAAATATGTATGTCACGTTATAAAAAGTATAAACGGTGTGTCAAATATCTAAATCACGTTATACAAAATGTAAAATGTGTTTGTAAAATATATGTAAATAAAACATAAACTGCATGCATTAAATATGTTATACAAAATATAAATTGTAAAATATGTAATGTGTGTGTCAAATATGTAAATCATGATATACAAAATGTAATTCCTGCCACCGCCCTGCGCCATTTTATCTACCATTTTTCTCAATTTTTCCTTTTTTTTTTTCATTTTCGCTTTTCTCTATTTTTTTGTTCCTAAAGACCTAAAAAAAGTTTTACATTTCAGAACTGGTGACTGGCGTTTCAAGATCCAGAACCTAGTTCTAAAACGGTTGGTTCTAAAATGTTAGAGTTTGTTTTCGTTAGATCTCAAAAATTGGTTTATACTAGTATGTTACTCCATAGTCCATATTTGTTAAAGATGAATTTCGAGTTAATTTAGGCTAAGAGCTAAAACGCGATGTCAGGCGTACCTAGGCGGCTAGACATGGACCAGTTCCGGGCCGGGCTCTGGGCCGGTCTAAACCGGGCTTTTTATTGTTGGGTGAAGGCCCGGAACCGGCCCGGGATTCCACCAAATCCGGATCCAGATCTGAGCCGGGCCAGTCAGACCAGAACCGGTCCATGCCTAGGCATACCCTAGGAATCTAGTGCTGGACTCGGGCCGGTTCGGGCCCGGTTCGGGCATGGGCCCGACCAGGCCTCGGGCCAGGAAAGTTGAGCCCGAGCCCGAACCGCCGGTGGGCGGTTCCGGTTCCAGTTCCGGGCCAAACCGGGCCGGGCCAGGCCGGGCCTAACCGGTTATATTTTTTTTTTGGCTCTTCTATTTAACACCCAACCCCTCCCCCTCAACCCCAAACCACCCCAAACCACCTCAAATGGCCCAAAATACCTAATCCAACCCAAAACTTAAAAAAAATTCAAAAAAAAAAAACGGCCCGAACCGGGCCCGAACCGGCCGGGCCGGTTCACCAAAAAAAGGGCCCGAGCCCGAACCACCCAGCAGCCGGGCCGGGCCGAACCGAACCGGTGGACCCACCGGGCCCCGGGCCGGGCCGGGCCAAACAGTAACCGGGCCGGGCCGGTTCCGGGCCGGGCCGCCCGGCCCGAGTCCAGCACTACCTAGGATTTAGTAACGAGTCTTAAGGAATTGGAGGGTAACTCTCATTCAATTGGTGCCTGCTGCTCCCTCTAAAAAACATTTTTAAGCATTTAACTTCACACCACATAAAAATTAAACAAAAAGAAGTCTTGGTACAATTGTACAAATATTTACATGGGCAAGAATAATGGTACAGCCAACTCCCATTTGAATCGGTGTACATGAGCAATGCCTCTTTGGGATATAAAAGTAAATAACAGTCAATAGTGGTATGAAAATTATAGTGAAACTTCTTGTAATGCTGCACGAAATTGGGAAGGGACCCGTAGCAAAGGGGCACGTACATCCCCGGGCTTGCCAAGCTGACCACAAGCAGCCATTTGATCATCGCCTCTGCTCAGCCGTAGAAAAACAACACACCCAGCTTCCGCAAGAATGTTCAGGAACTCAACCATCTTCTCCTCCTTTGTTGGTCTGAATAGAGATCCGGAATGAGGGTTAAAGGTTATGAGGTTAATCTTGCAAGGAATGCCGTCAACCAGATCAATTAGTCTCTTTGCATCTTCCACACTGGTCAAAGAACTCTCAGCAAATGAGGAAGGCAATGCGTAATTGTATGATATGAAGTTGAGCACTTATACTTGCAGCATCGAAGTCTTAAAAGGACAGAATGACAATAAGCCATCTAATATAGAAGGTTTTTGGTTCATGGGTGGAAAGAGTTACCAGGGGTAGTAGGATTACCTAATGTAAGGTATGTGAGATTAAAGGAACCAAAGATCATCTTAAGTTGTTCAATTCGCAGAATGTACACAAGTATGCAACACTACTTATTATCTCGTTAAATTGTTAAGTATATAACCAAGCTAATCTTAAAGTTAATAAAATGCATTTGCTTGTGCATGATTGTCTTCCACAATGATTTTAAATTTTCAGATTTATCCCTTCATCTATCCATTACATTTTCCTCCTTTAAAAGGCCATAACAAATATATCTGTTATTTTCTTAAAGCCCGTGATACCTAAAGTATCTTATATTTTGGGACAGATGGAGTAATAACTAACAAAACCAAGGTAATTATTATCAAATTATGCCCAACATTACCTAATTTTCGTACTTGGAGGTGATCTCAGAGTTACCAGGGTATCTAACAGCCTGAACCAAACAAGGTAATGATCTCACCTTACCTTTCTTAAATTGCTATGGTAATGTGAGATTACTCGAAGGCTTAGCACCTAAACTGGACATGAGCAGGGTCAGCCCTATGATAGGAACCTGGTAATTATTCAGTCCCAAAAGTAATGGAAGAACACACAGATCTGATAAAATGATAAGGGAATGATGTTTATTGATGAAGAAGGTAAACCGTAGGTAACAAGGGACAGGGACGGGGACTTCTTAGGCAACAAGGCAACACTCAATTCAAATAACAGTCTGCCTATTATGGCTACCCCAGCTTCTATTTATAGCAAAAGTCCACGCAGGGACTAAATAGACAACTAAATAAGCTAAAGGCACTTAATAAGATATTTAACTCCCCTAACCCCCTTATTTAAAACTACTGCTTAGGCTGATGCCTAACACCGTAGCACAGTATGGGCTCACCTGTTTGGTATATTGTATACTTCCTCCATCCCAATTTGATTTGCAAATAATGATTTTCCACTTACTATTTTAGGTTGTAAAAATGAATAAAGTGACAAATTTAACCTTAGTACCTTACTTTTGCCCCTATTCTATTTACTTTAAATGCCTCTACTTTTAGGGGAAAGGACAAAATAGTAAAGGCAAATCTAATTTATAACCTTCCTTAGTTCTTGTGTCGGTCAACTTTTGCGGACCAAATTGGGACGGAGTGAGTATAAAAAACATAGGATGCCAATCATACACCAAGAGGCTAGACGGGGGTTGAGAACAGAAAAGTAATGGCATGGTCAAAATTGTACTAAGTTTTTGTTGAATTAAGTCTATTATTAATTATTATTATTATTATGTATGCTAAAATGCAGATAATCAAGAAAAACTACTTGCCTGTCATTAATTCCAGCAAGCATAACATATTCGAAAAAAACTTTGTAGTTGTGCTTCATACTAAGCTCCTCTTTAAGAGTCTCAAGGAGCAATTTCAGGTTATATTTCCGGTTTATAGGCATGATCCAATTTCTAACCTGCAATATTTTCAACAATGGTAACATTTCAAGTTGTATATACAGATTTAAGATGTTTTCTTTTGGACTGTTTTCAGCCCCAGACCAGACCAGATCAGACCAGACCAGACTTGACTTCCGTAGTTATAAAATACACAGAGACTAGACGTTTACCAGACCAGCCCAGTTCAGACCAGATCAGACCAGCAAATTTCAGTCCAAAAGAAAACATCCTTATTTGCACCAGATCTCAATATGAAGTGTTCTTTAAAAACCTCATCAGTGGTGGCATTCAAGCTGACTGCCAAAGCACAATTAGATTGGCGAAGAAAACGCTTTAGCTGGGGAACAAGACCGCTGGTTGAGATGGTGACCTTGCGAGGACTGAAATGGAGCCCTTGTTCATCAACCAATATGTCTGCAGCTCTTATCACATTTTCTGTGTTGTGGAGTGGTTCCCCCATCCCCTATACAATCATCAATCACTAATTGTTACCTCCATGAGAGATAATGGGATATTTTCCGAAATAGGAGTCAAAACAATGTGATTTCTAAGAATATGAGTACTATGTTTTCCCCTAAATAAGAGCAAGTTATGGCCATCTTGAAATCATACTACAACAATTTGGCATTATCACGCACTAATGTGCCCGTAATAACTCATGGTTAGCAGTATCATCCAAACATTGCAATAATAACTCAGGGAAAAACATGGTATTCCTATTTCGGAAAATCATATTGTTCTAACTCCCTATTTAGAGCAATTTCTGATAGATATTGCAAATAAATGGTTGTTCACTTGTGATTTAAAAAATGAACACACACAAAAGCTGTTGTAGTCTAGCTCAATTTAGCTAGAGAAATGTGGGCTAAAAACTGCCTAGTGGGATGTGGAATACATCTTCGTTAAACCCAACCCGTCAACCTACTAAAGTGATGAATTAAATATATCGTACGTCTA